CTACTTACTTACAACAAAGCCTTAAAGAAAAATTTAATAATACTGATTTTAAACACTATCGTTGTGCCGCCCATACTTTAAATTTAATTGTCACAGATGGTTTAAAACTCGTTGATGCTTCTATTATAAAGGCAAGATCCTTCGCATCTACTATACGTAATTCACAACCAATTTTTAGAGAATTAAAAGATATCTTTAAAATGAAAAATAAAAAGTTTCTTATACCTGATCTAGACGTTTCAACCCGTTGGAATAGTACCTTTTTAATAATCGAAAAATTAAAAAAAATTAGAGATATGACCGATATTCTTGTTGCATCAAATAATTCATTAAAATCAAATTATCCAACCGAATTAGAATGGTTAGAAATTGATGTATGTTTTTTTTCTTTTTTAAGATTCGAATTGGTATTTTTTTCATATATGTTTTTTATTTATTATTTTTTTTTTTTATAAATTATAGGAAATCTATAATCTCCTTAACCCCATTTACCAAGCAACTTTAATGCTCTCATCGTCTAGCCATCCAACCTTAGGAGATCTTTATTTAATATTCATTACAATTAAAAGATCTCTTGAAGAAATTATTAATAATACAGTTGAAGAAACTACACCAAAACTCGTCGCAACAGCTATGTCAATTAAACTTGATGAATATTGGCAAAAATTAGATCAATCATCATTTATGATTGCTCCACTTGATCCAAACATTAAGCTTTCATTGTACGACCCAGAAAAACAACATAAGGCTCAACAATATATAGAAAATCTTTATTCAAAATATATTACCTCTAATACTAGCTCATCATCCCAAACAGATACCTTACAATTAACTTCACGCGACTATTTCAAGAAGGCACTTAAGCGTTCATTTAATTCTCCTAGTGAAACAAGTGAATTACGAAATTATCTTATGTCATCAGAAGTTGATTGTGAGGTATTATCATGGTGGAAAGCTCACGCAAATAATTAAAATTACAAAAATGTTGCAAAAATGGCTCAAGATTACCTGTGCATACAGGCTACTAGTGTACCAAGTGAGCAGGTATTCTCAGTCGCTAAACATACCATAAATCCCTTACGTAACCGTTTAGATCCAGAAAAAGCACGGGCAACTCTTTGCCTTAAAAGTTGGTATGAATCTGGTATAATTAAAAAACTTGAATCTTAACCTTAAAATTAGCTTAGCGTTAGTTTTTTTTTAACTTCAGACTTAGCTTAGCATTAGTGTGTTTTTAAAGTTTGAAATATTCAACTGTTTTATTGTCGTAAAGATCTAATAAATTTCTAATCTAAAAAAAATTGATAAAAGTTCGAAACTGAGTTTAGAACTAAATTTGAAACGCGAATGTGATCTCACGTGATATTTTTGGAACTTGTGTGTGACTTTCACATGATATTTTTTAAACTTTTTTTCGAACTGTTTCTGAACTCAAACTTTTATGAAACAG